CTTCTCTCTCTCTCTCTCTCTCTATATATATATATATATATATGACACGGTTTCTATGAGTCTTCTTAAAAATCTGTTTTTTTAGATGGATTTTTGGATGTAATTTTTTTAAGATATATAATCTCTAACATGCAGATCATAAATATGAAAAAATAAATAAATTTTGAAAATTAAAATTTAGTTAGTTTCAATTGTTTCAATGGATGCTTTATAGCTCGGGGACAGCAAATGTCGAAATGTGGTCCCACACATGAAACAATTATATATACATACGGTGTGGTTTGTATACAGCCGAGGTTCTAAACCATCAAATTAGAGCCCGCCTTCAAATAGTGGCAAGGAATATAGTTTCAATATTGGAAATCTTTGATTAGCATTAAAATATATTTTTATCTTTAATTATAAAATTTAAACATTGAAAAATGGTGTAGATCGAGTAGATCTATAAAAATTGATGGTCCAAAACTGCACTACAAGATCCACTATTTCCAAAACTTGAAATCCATTTTTTTCTCAAGTCCATGCATCTTGATGTTGAGATGATCAATTTGAGAATATTTGATCATCAAAACCACCTCTTCTAGTGAAATTTTTGAGGTAGGCTCTAATTTGATTATTTAGAGCCTAAGCTCTATATAAACTTTTCCCATATATATATATATATATATATATATATATGAATCACAGTAAGAGTCTAAGCGATACGTATCTCTATGTATATATAGGCTATACGTATATAGAGAGGTAGGAGAGAGAGATTCTCAAGTTATAATCAAACATCATAATCGGTCTATCTTGCTAGTGATTAGATTATGATTCACCCATTCTAACTCGGGTAAATCTTGAGAGGGACGAGGCTATATTTGGGGGGAAAAAAATAGTAATAACATAATGAAAATTGTTTCATGCGGCGGCGGGGACTGTATTACTACATTTGTGGTCCCTAATGTACAAAGCATCCATCTTAAAGATTGGTGCAAATAGGTGGTCCATCTAAAAACAATTGAAACTAACAGTCCAAATCTTTTTTTAATAGAATTACTATTTTTAATTTCCAAAATTTATTTATTCATTCATATTCATGTTGTCCATGTTAGAGATTATATGTCTTTAAATTTTAGTCAAAAAATCCATCTCAAAAGTAAATTTTTACGATGTGACTCAATTCTACATGGACTCATAGAAACCTTGTCCATAACATAATATTGAAGAAAAACGTTTATGGGATTGTATACAATGAGACCATTTACTTTTGATACAAGGTGGTCAAAAGTACTTACAACCATTTGATGTGAAATTTGATAGCTTGAAATATCACAAAGTTCTAAAAAATTTCTTTTGGAGGTTGAATTTGGTCAATGGAATAATTATAGCTATCCAATTTCACATCCAATAGTCAAAGATTAATCTGACCACTTAATGCCAAAGGTAAATAGTTTCATTCTATATTTTCCCAAAGTTTATATAAAGTTGATATCTTAAATTGTAGAATGGAGGTGCATATGAGAACTCCACCGAAAAATGCTATTTTGACATCAAAAAATCATTTAATTGATCATCTAGATATCGAGATGTATTAATATAGGGAAAAAAAAAATATTCTACATCTTGCAACATATTATTTAGACCGTAAATTTACACGATTTTCATGCGTTTATATATCTGCTTGATTTGAACTATTTTTGGAGTTTAAAATTTTATAACTAGAGATGAAAAGAGATTCTTGAGCCATCCTAAAATTTTCGACAATACAATTGCATCTTATGACAAAGTTTAAACGTGCTCACTTTGATTGTTTAATAGGTTGCAAACTAATGCAAAACTCACCCATAGAGACATAGAGGGACTCAATTTCTTCTGGGCTTTTCATTCCACAGCCAACCTCCCGATTTGGTCTGACTCAGGCAGTTCTCAAAATGGGTTAGGCCAAGGCCAAAAAGTGTTTAAAAAAATAAAAATACATAAATAAAAGATATCGAAATGAAGAAAAAAAGTAATGGACAATTGATTACAAAAAATTTAGTTTTTGGAGGGAAATGATCGAAAAAAAAAGGAAAAATATAAAAATAAGTAATTCATGATCAAGAGACTCAAGACACTTTCTAATCTTTTGCCAAAATGATAAAAAACATGTACCAATTAATTTCTTAATTTTTTTAGTTTATTTAATTTATTTAAATTTTTGTAAGATCCCTAAGTTGGGCACCAAACTCGTGAACCACAGCTCGCCAGGGTGGCGAGCCTGAGTTACTGGGACAAGTTTGAGCCGGCTCACCCGAGTTATCAATCATTGCTCTTAGCCTTATTTATAAGGTACATATCAGTGGTGGAGGACATTATTTTGTTCCTTCAAAAAATGGCTTTCTTAAATATACAGTTCTTGAATTTTGGGGTCAAAATGC